GGAAAAGTGCGTCACAAAATCTACTCCGAGGCAGAACAGTCCGGTCTCCATTCATTTCTGCTCTCGGAAATCACATCTGCTGAAAGTCCCGAACACCCGTCCTCTGAGCATCAGTCAACAGCTGCAAAGAACATCAAAACTGGAGACTGTGTCTTGGTCAAATTCAAGGCAAACAAATCATTCAGGCAGTTTGTCGGACTTGTTAATAACCGAGAGCAGGAGGCACTGGAAATAAGGTTCTTAAGAAGGAATGACAGTGCTGGATTAGTGTACATCTTACCTGTGATGGAAGATAAAGCTTGGGTGACACCTGACCAAGTGATTGAGACTTTCAACCCAAAAGTAGACAACAGAGGGAGGTATCACTTTGTAGAGGCAGTCTTTGCAGAATAGAAAGAGAAAAAAAAAGTCAATCACTTTGCAGAGGCAGTCTTTGCAGAATAGAAAGAGAAAAATAAAAAAATAATAATCTAATTAATCACATTTGTACTCGTTTATTTGATGTTTTGCATGTTTGTTTCGCCTTGATTGATGTTTTACATTAGCTTTTACATTTGATAATTTCATCTTTACAATATTTAATAACGTAAAAAGTAAAGACTGACTACAATTAATTAATTTTACTTTATTTTATGTCTACAGTGAATTAACTTAATATTTTGTAAGTTTCTTATTCACAATGATTCATGCTCATAACAGTGATCAATATACTGTATGCTCACCTTTTTTGGACATCTGTTTTACAGAGCTCTTGTTGCTACAAAATCCTCAACGCTACTCAGTTACAAATGTTGGCCTATGTAAAAAAAAGTTCATTTTCTTAATTATTTATCCTTCAAGTATTTCTTAAAGATGTTCACATTAAACAATAAATGAAAATACTGTATGTACTTTATGCTCACCTTTTTTGGACATCTTTTTCACACAGATCGTTTTGCTGCGTCTTAGTCTTCTTAACATCCAAATGCCAGCCATTAAACTTGGTAAAACATAACTACTAATTAAGTAATCGTTAGAGACGATAAACAACATGTAGATTATTCTGAAGCATTGGCTTACATTGCACTTATTTTGACAAACATAATGCAGCTATTCTGAATCACGATTGCGCATTTAGCAACGCAAACTGGGAATAAACGTTGCCATCAAACATAATATTGCGATCATTATGACACGATTGTATTTTGCATACCATTCTTCACACAGACACAGGCCTACACAGTGCACACTAACAACCGGACAATACTTCAATTCACCGAAGCTTGTTCTGAGTGGAAACCGCGGCGACCTCCGGAACTTGGTAAACGTATTATAGCTGATGATGTATATTAGCAATTCTATATTATTCGGGGTCTAAAGTAAACACCACATTAGCAAATAATCATGTCCGAATTCAGTTTTGAACACATCCGCACTGGTTACATTTTAACACCACACTCGCGTGAACACAAGCTAATCTATAACAAGGTGATTTCAGTTTAAATGTTATTAATTGCGCAACCTTACCATACAGATGTCTCGCAGGGAAATGTTTGTTGGTTTAAATACCCAACAGAGACCCACAATTAGATCTCGGTTAAAGTTTTTAAAGCATTTTATCTGATTTGCCAGAGTCAGACAAGTGTCAATTTCAGATCTGTCACGTCCGTAACGGAGAGACGTCACCTCCGTAACAATGGTTTTCCCCCATAAATGCAAAAATGAAAAACAAAATAAAATAAATAATTTATGTTCCATGGAGAGACAACCCTTATCCTTTCGGCTGGTATTATTTATTTTGGCTTGTGCATTTAATTCGCAGAATTTCTACAAAGCAGCCTATGTCGACTCCCAAAAACTCTCTTAAACGGATGACTTTTAAAAACACTCTTTTTTGTCACGTCCGTAACGCATGCATATTTGCCTGATTTAAA